GACGATTTCTAATGGGTTTCCCCATAGAATTCGTCCAACCTTATATAATAAGGTAATCCATGGCCCAATTGCAATTATCTTATAACTACAATTCCAGTCCCTTAAGTTTAATTAATCTCTTTTAGCCAAAAAATTAATTATCAATTAATTCTTGACTAATATTAATTTAACAATATGATTTCTCCTTTAATATATTATTCCCATAATATATTAATAAATCATATTTAATCCTTTCTCTCCATAATTCATCCTATCAAGTTGCTTTGGTGAAGGCAACCCAAATGGACCATGCACCATCGGGTCAAGTACATACCAAATTAGTTATGGATTTAGACACTAATCCAACAGTCTCCCACTTGCATAATTCAAATAACTATTATGCGTATGACTTCAGATCCTGATCTACATTCGTAGCTTTCCAAAGCCGCTGTCAACTCTGATCTTATTAGATACACGTGTCCTTTAGATAAGGGATCATATATTCCTCCATTCTAGATATCGTATAAGACATGATTTCAAATCATTCTTTCTGAACTACTTCTCGATTTTCAATTTATGACGACTGACTAATTGAATAAATCAAATTAGCCCTAGCCCGGCCGAACATTTACGCTTGTCATCACTAAATCATCGATGGGCCCAAAGATATCGCTTTTATCCTACTTTGGATAAAAGGAACGGATAAACTTTGACTCAATGTTCGCTTGCACTCACTCACCGAATCACACACAACAATATGTTTTATAACACCAAGTTACTAGTGCGTTTACGTACTATCAATGTGCAACCGACTCACAAGATACAACTCACACATATCGGTTTCAAGAATATAAGATGTTATCATCCCACCAATCACTCGTGATAAAATCCATGAATTGATCCAAGTGAGCGTGGGTTTAATCCAATGCTCAAATCATATTCATAAGCACTCATGAACGTTGCAGCAAACATTTGCTTATGTCTAATGCTCTTTAGACAATCCACACACCAATTCATGACAGTCTTCATTCATACCTACTTCCAGCATATGAATGATTGTGGCCCGTTTGAATAATTTGACTGTTCTTAACCAATTAAATTATGCAAAGTGAAACACAAGAATAATACTAATCCCATATGGCCTCAAACCTTTGAGTATAAATAAAACACCTTTTATTTATCACCATATCGATTACTCATTATTTGTTGTTTCGGGTAATCAACTTCTTACTTGAATTATAACACTTGTCCTATGCTCTCAACGTGCACACAATGTTTACTTACGATTCTTACTTTGTGAAATAGATCAAATGAACACATTTCCAATCATACTCATTTCACAACTCCAAATCCTTTTTCATAAGTGAAAGAATATCAAATTCTTGCCACTTATAGAATATGTTAGATTCTAACATTTTTTGCAATGATCCTTTTTGTAATGTCATAGCACAAAAAAAGTCACAAAGACTATTGCCAACGATATTACGAAGTTCTCTATCGGATATTGTTACAATACAATTCCTTAGATATGATGTCTCTCACTCAAAGTAAATTCCTTTGAACATCCTTTGCATAAAAGTTTCTAATCTAGACATAGATTTTCAATATTCAATTCCCAATATGGACACGTTTCCATACTTACCATATGACAACATATTCTTAATAGAATCTTATCTATTCATAATAATGTCTATTTACTCCATCCAATACTATACTTCCAACTACTCACAAGCGACCAATCCTCGGCGAACTTTGGATTGTCCTTTGATAGTTGTTTAATTATCTTAGTCAAAACCGATTCTAGTCATTTTTCCCTCTAAATGCGCTAGACATTTGGAAAATTTTAGAATGGTCAAATATTATAGCATTTGCAATCGATCCTATATTCGAAGCGTATGGGACACGATTCATAATGTCTTACATGAAGATTTCGTACTTTATCAATCTTCTGTCATAATGTTTTATGTGCTACGTTCTCAAAATTCGAACTATGACGAGGAATGTCGTAATCATAATCGAAATTTCTGAACACACTATGTTTCCTTGACTAAATCTATTAAAATTTCTCAATCTAAGCTTTAGATTTTGAAACGAAGTACAATATTCTCTCCCTTAATTATAGCAAAACGACTATTCAACCCTCACAACTTTGCAAAGTATGACTCTTATTTTCTATAATTAATATTGCTAACTTGCAATACTTGCCTTAATAATCATATAATCATAACATTTATGCTCCCACTATCATGATGATTATTATAAACATAACACTTATGCTCCCACTAGCTTTGACATGTATTCAGAAAACAGTTTAACTTACAGAAAAACAATATCTATTGAATTTCTTAAGTTCAGGTTTCTAATACTTAATTCTTTGATCATCCTTTATCAAGGCTTCTTAATCTCATACACCTTTTATCCAAGATAGCTCATATGTGTCTTAAACAATTAAGACTAATTGCCAAATCTCACAATTCGAATCATGGAGAGGGATACCGTAACCATAATCAAATTTAATAATGCAATTTTACAATTGCTATCTTCTTAAAATCTCTCTTAATGAAAGCATTTTCTCACAGTCATTTTCATGAAGAAAAAAAATCTTATGACACTTATATTTTAATGGTGTATGTGTTCCTATCCATGTGAATTTGTCAAAACCAAGGTTTACGACAAATTCAAACTCATATGGACCGAACTTTCTTAATCTTGACTTCTTGCCTTGTGGTAGCACAGCTGCCCACCATGTCTTCCAAGTAGTTAAGTAGCTCACCTTTTCCTATCAATGTACTTTTCATTGATCAAGGTGCCTACCTTTTATGCGTTAAAAATGAGAACTTATAGAACTCACATGCATAATTAACTCAATTGGAATGGCACAGAAACAAAATAACGTCAACACGATAGGTTATAAACCTCAAGTCGTGTGCTAGTGATGTTAGATAAGGTTTATTTTTTATTTGTTCTTGAAACCTTTCAAGGCCATTAAGACTCCCACTGACAATTCGACATATAAGATTCTCTTGTCAACAAACAATTCTTGACAAATATTGAAGAGTTAGTGTAGTTTTTATCAAAACACTTCATAAATAGGTCCTAGTTGGTCTTTGTCTTATCCAAGACATCACAACTTTCCTCATTTGATGAATGTTATAAAACTTCTTATTACTCAATGTCACAATCTTAACTCTAAGACTTGTTTTGGAATGAAGTATGATTGACATCTTCATTTAACCATTTCTTCAATTCTTGATTCCTCTTCTCATACATACAATTGTACTAAGACTCACTTAGAGGATTAATTAAGATATGGTTCTTAATCATTAAGACCTATCATAATAAAAGATACTCTCCCTTCTTCTTAGAATAGAGAAACTTTTATCTTTCTTCCTACTTGATTCTTCTTATTCGTTCTACATAATGATTTAAACTTCTACAATCAATTCAGAATTACACTTAATCTTATAAGTGTAATCATATTTGCTAAACTTTTAGTTAATTATGACGAATATCATTGTTACTCTTGTGGTGGACTTGATCAACACATAACCTTGTGTACTCGATCTCCTAGTCCTTCACTTGACACTTTGTCAACAAATTAGTCTACTTTCCAAATGTGAAAGTTTATTCATTCATCATACAATTCTTGTTGTACGATTCCAAATCTATATCCAATTGAAACTTGGGCAATGAGGAACTTTCCTATTTGGTAAATTCTCGACATTTCCACAAATAACATAATTAAGAATCGCATCCAATTGTTGTAAATATATGAACACCAATTTTTCATAACGATTTCATTGCAATGAAATAAACACGTCAAACAAAATTTATTTTATTTATAAAAGCAGCGGAAAACATTTGTCCTTACAATGAAAAATCAACTGAAAAACTATGTAATAAATATTCCTAACAAATCTATCTAAGCTCAAAATCTAATCTTCGAATCCATTTCTTCGTGATTAGATGCATCTTGCTATTTCATCAAGCTTCCTCTCTTTTCATCGATCCTTCAAAACATTCAAATGCAATCTTATCACATTTTGTATTAAGAATCAACGAATAGGAACTTAATCGAGTTAGATAGTGGATTTTACCGGAAGTATAGTCATACTCTTTGACTCTCCCATCTTCTGGACTCTTCAGGCTCTTAGGGCATACTTGTATCCAACGCCCTTTCTCTTGGCAGCAAACGCAGGTCGGTTCTCCTAGATCACCCTCGGAAGCATGGTTGGTTGACTTTCCCAACAAATACGCTCCATTGCTTTGCCAAATCATTTCTGATTCAGCAGCAATGAGCATGTAAGTTAGGTTAATGAGGCTTTCATCATGATCCACCATATAATACTTTCTTTTGAACTCATTATATGATTCGGGAAGTGACTGCAGAACCCAGTTCACAGCCAACTTATCCGGGAATGACACACCCAACATTCTCAACCTATCAATGTGTGATTTCATTCCTAGAATGTGAGCACACACGAGCTTACCATCTTCATGTTTCATTTCCAATATGGCTTTAGTGACATTCACTACTAGAAAAACAGCCTTTTACGACGCGCAATTTATGATACGCATCGATTTACGATACGCAAAAGTGTGCGGCCTAAAAATAATGTCATCTCTCTATAAATTTTAAGGATTTAAGACGTGTATTTTTGCGTGCCCTTAAATTAGTGTCTAGAAAAAACACGGAGAGCGCCTATAATAAAATGTGTGTCGTCTGAAGACGTCGCTTTATAAATTTTAATGGAAACGCGCGTTCCATCATTTATTAGCCGGGGGGGGGGGGAGGGGGAGGGAAATGAAATCCAAAAAAATAAAAAGCCCGCCTCCCTTTTTCTTCCTTTCCCTCTTGCCCTAATTATCGACGGCCCTTCCAAGCAATCGACAACCTTCACACTCTACTTTTCCTTTTCTCTGTAAACGACTCTTCGATTGGCTCCGGTTAAAATTTAGATGTGGGTGTGTAATCGCAACTTTTGATCTTTTGGTTTTGGTTGGCATTTGTATCTGTTCATATGTCTTCCAATCTACATTGGACATCGACATCGTTACTTGCCATTCCGGCCAGGTCGTCGACATCAATCAAGGCAAGCACGCCACCAGCCAACAACCTTCACTCTCTCCTTTTCCTTTTCTCTGTAACCCTAATTTGCCTCCACCAGTACCGAATCTACCTCAACTCACCTCTGACCTTGGCTCATCTCTTTCTGATCGCAGCTAATGAACCTATTTTGTGTTTAATCTGGGAGCAAATCGCGATTTAATTTGTACACTGGAAGCCTAGATGACAGGTCCGACACGGTGGCAGCATTTGTCTCGCTTGCGAGAGACAACGATTGGTATGGGAAGTTGATAATTGAAGAAGATGGAGACAATCTGTTGCTGAAATTGGTGAAAGAAGGGAAACCAGAAGGTCAGGAGAATGTTGCGTCTGCAATCGGATTGCTACGTCATCATCCTGAGAGCGTTGAACACATGATTCACGTCGGTGTATGCTCGATGTTTATTAAACACAGATAGTCAGTCTACGCATCCTGATGAAGGTAAACTGCTTTGTTTTCATGTATTTGGAGGAGTTTTTATTCATTACAAAGGCCTTTATTTTGTCAAATATTTTAGAAAGAAGAGGGATTGATATATCAATACACATGATAAACTTGAGATTTAATTTGCAGTGACAACAATGAGGGCTATTAGGCAAAGCTTTATCGATCAAAACAGTAGGCTTAGGAACTGGAGGCGTGGAGATCCATGTGTTTCAAATTGGACTTGAGTCCTGTGCTTCAGCAAAACCCTAGACAATGGTTATCTTCATATTCGAGAACTGTAAGATATTAATTCTCCAATTTATATGATTGTAACTATAAGTTTTAAAGCGACAATATATAACCAGAACATCTAAGTCTGTGTGTGATTTTTGTAGGCAACTACTGAATCTCAATCTTTCTGGAACCTTATCTCTTGAAATAAGGCGATTATCTTATATGCAAATATTGTGAGCCAAGTTCCTAATTTCATCTACATTACTTTGTTTCCTTTTTCTTGATAATATTTTGTTATGCATATAACATATTTGCTCTTGATCTTAAAGGGATATCATGTGGAACAGCATAGGTGGGAGTATACCAAAAGAGATAGACCAACTTACATCCTTGAAATTCTTGTAGCTTTATTTCCTTTTTCCTGTTTAATTAATTAATGAGTAGATATTGAACCATTCAAGGTAATCTGTAATTATGTGCATGTAGGATTTTAAATGGAAACAATCTAACAGGCTCCTTGCCAGAAGAGATTGGGAATCTCCCCAATTTGAACCGCATACAAATCGACCAGAACCACATATCTGGACCAATACCAGTCTCATTTTTAAAACTGAACAACACAATGCACTTGTAATTTTATTATTATTTGTTCCTATATTTTTATAATCTAATTTCTATATGATGACTACTAGTATTATCATATGTGGGTTTGTAGTCATATGAACAATAATTCACGTTGAAGGAAGTATAAGAAGCTAAAATTATTCTGAAATTTTACTTTGTTTCATGTTTTTTGTTTTTCAGGTTCTAATAATCTTTTTCCCCATTTTATGTCCCTTCACTAACTGCTATCCATCAGCTTTTAAGCAATGGGACATTCCCACAACAACCACAGCAAGGTGGTGGCATGTATCCAGCACTACCAGTGGTTGCCGCCTCTAATTCTAAATACCCACTTCAACAGTATAAAGCTAGGAAGCAATAACTCGGGACATATTGGAATGGCGGGAAGCTATGGACCATATGCTCAGGAGCCCCTGCTAGTTATAACCCTAGTTCAGCAGCTACACCTGTACTGATTAATATTTCATTAAATTTTATTTTTTATTTCTATCCTAATCTATATTCTTGACTTCCTTCTTGCTCTAGCTTTATTATTCATAACACCATTGTTTGAATTTATACCTCAGGTACATATAATACAGTTATTAAAACTTTTTATTTTCTATCTTGACTTCACTTCACCTCTTGTTGACTTTTTTTTTACAGTGTGCTCTAGCAGCCATTGTAGTCTCTGCTGTAATTGGGCTAGTAAGTTTCCTTATTTGATATTGTGTAGGACCCGTGGATATATGTATTATTGTTCACATCCTAAGTTTTAATTATTATTTAATAATAATAATTACAGGTAAAAAGAAAGATAATAAACATAGTTAGTTAATTTCTAAGACAGTATTAACTTTTGTTTTTGGATTTACAAGTACTAAGAACATAATTGATGCTTGTACTAAACTTAATGTGAAGAGGCTTATCTATACAAGTTCTCCTAGTGTGGTTTTTTATGGGATACATGGAATACATAATGGAGAAGAATCATTGCCATACAAGTCCAGATGTGAGTTTGATGATTTGTATTCCCATATTTTATTAACCTTAAAATTGCTTAGTTTTGTAAACTGGCATTTTTTATTTTTTTAAAAACTTGAAGTCTTGAAAGTGAAATGATATATATATATATATATATATATATATATAGAATCTGAATGGAAAATAATATGATATTTTATTAGTTTTACTTTGTTTCTTTTTTTTATCTTAATAGGCTTAATGGGTTAAGTACTTAATCCAGAAAGCTACATATAGTTGTTTCCTTTTGACTTAATTTGGACATAATGACTTGATGAGTTAACCAAAAAAGCCTGCCACATATTTTAGATAAGGGTATTATGGGAAAATCCTACGAATAAAGGGCTTATTAATGTGAGGGGCATTTTGGGTAACTCTTTATATATTTTGTTTGTTGCAATAGAGTATATAAGTGGGTAGAAGGATTGGGGGATGGTTATCTGTCATGATAAATGAAGATTTTCACGGTCACTACCTTCTCTACTATCAGTAATATACATATTTCATGGTCTTTTTTCCTTTTTTAAAGGTAAACATCCATCAATTTTGAATTAGCTCTCTCTTTTATCAAATATCATGTTCTTCATTTTAGAGAACATTAATCTCTATTAGTTTTTATTTATTTACTTATCCTGTTATGTGTTGGATTACAGCAGTGAAAGGAGCATTAAAAATAAAAAACGAAAACAAAAATATAATTCTCTCCTTATTATCATATGCATAATATATTTTGTACTTCAATTTGCAGAAAGATCATCAAGCAATAGATATCCTTTTAGAAGAGATCGATATATATATATGAGCTTTTTGCTTTGAAACATTGTTGGGGAAGAAGGTTGAAACTTGCTCTTTGTGAGTAATTTTTTTTCTTAATGTATTATCCTCTATATTCTTGATATTTTCCCACTTTTTAAATCTTTTATCAAATTCTCACTTTTGGATACAGAGCTTGATGAGAGAATGTGTGACCTAAATCTTTTATCAAATTCTCACTTTTGGAGGTGGCCATAAGAAAAGGTAAGCAAAGGGTAATTTGGTATTTGTTACTGTTATTGTGTATTACAATACTTGCATGTATATATGTATAAAGTTTGTTCTTATTCAGATTTGCCTTTTACCATTGATTTCCTTATTGAGGCATTTTACTTTGAAAATGTTAATTCTTACCTTTTGTCCATGTAGGATCCACCAGGAACAGGAAAAACACAAACAATTCTTGGGCTTCTTAGTGCCATATTACATACCAACTTAGTCTCTTAACTTTGTAAGACATTGATTACTTGAGGGTATTTTTAGTAACATTGTAAGAGATTGATTACTTGAGGGTACTTATGGTATATAATGTTATATTCTTTTGTTAACATGGTCCTTAGTGCAATGAATTATCTTTATTGTTTATGGTATTTTATTCTGTATTATGAGACTTTTAATGTGTTATTTAATTTGAAAATTAGTAAATCTATCAAAAAAAGTAATTTATTTCTATTATGAGAAATTAAATGCAAATTTAATTTAAAAATTAATAAATATATAATTTTTTTTAAACATTTAAATTTACGATACGCAAAAATGTGTGTCATCTTCATTTATGACATGGCCTTTCTTGACAGGGGCTTTATTGATACGCATTGTGTGTCATTAACACGCGCGTCGTAAGGTTATGACACGCGAATGCGAGTCGTCTTCCTTTATGACCGGGCCTTCTTTGATACGCATTGCGTGTCATAAACGCGCGTCGTAAATGAGCGTCGTAAATGCGCGTCACCTCTCTTTATGACAGGGCCTTCCTTGACTTGCATTTGCGCGTTGTCTGAGCCTTTTACGACGCGCAATGAGCGTCGTAAAAGGCTGTTTTTCTAATAGTGATTGAACCTTTCAATTCTTCAATCTTGTGGGTTAGGGAGAACTACGGGAGGAGGAGGAGGAAGTGAAGCATGATTTCTTGTTCCTCGATCAAATCATGAAATATCATCTTCATGTGGAATGCTTGTTCCACGGGACTTGGGAAGACCATAGTCGTCGAACTTCGACATCTACAAAACGGGAGAAAACAAATTCAAGTTAGTTGATTGATTGAGTCCTTAGTTAATCACCCAAATGAGATACTAAGTCTAGGACCCAACACAATATGCTACAACCTAGAAAAGGGATGCCATAATCTAGTTGCAGAATATTTGAAGGTAAGTGAATGACGATTCACTAATTTCCACCATGAAAAAACGAAAAACAAATTTAAGTTTTAAATCTATGAAAACTCCTAGATCCTTTGAGATTCATTGAACATTTCAATGACATGTTTAAATCTTGATATGCCCCTTTTGTTTGTGACTGGGATGCCGAGGATCACAAAGCGGGTGTGAATAACCATGCAAACTTACATGGTGCCCTCACATGTTACGATCACCTATTCGATGTGCCGGTAAACCACACACGCTCCACCGAACTATGACAAACATTGAGTCACCCTTTGCTACCTTTGCTTAGAACCATTTAGTGTACCGGTAAACCACACGCACACCACTAACATCTTCGCAAGGGCACAAAGTGTAATTTCATGGAATTGCATCAATTCACTTTTGCCTAAAATAACTAAGATTGGGAATTTGTAAAACATTTAGTTACTTTTGTACTTCATTATACTTATAATGGAAGGTTTTGTCCTATCCTACCCGTTCGGCTAACGACCTCCACTAGTCAAGAGTGCGGTGGGTAAGAGTGGATACCCATTCAATCGCCATTTTATAGGCAATTTCCTTAAACACCCCTTATAGACCAGCTTCGTGAATGAGGCCTACTAACGGTAAGACTGACTTTTACTCATACATATATATATATATATATATATATATATATATATATATATATATAATGTTAGACTTTTAATGTTATATATAGTATAGGGTGTATTTTACACTTTTAAAATACTATGTGGTCAAATTTAACAATTATACTTTTAATTCAATTAAATTGTAACCAAAACTTTATGGATTTATTAAACCTCTTTTAATTATACACCTTAATTAATTAATAAACCATAAGGGTGTGATTTCAACTTTTCAAAACAATACTAGGGTTTTAGAATTTAACATTTCTAAATTAAACTTTTAATCAACTTTTAAATTCCGAATACTTGAGGGCAAGTTTTGAAACATTTCAAAACATTAGGTTTAGAATTTAAATATACATCAAAATTAACTTTAATCAAAATTTAAATTCTAATACTTGAGGACAAGTTTTGAAACCTTTTCAAAAACATTAGGGTTTAACTATTTAAATTTCAAAACTAAACTTTTAAGTTCAAATTTAAACTATTAAACCTAAAGGGGAAAATATGAAACTTTTCATATCACAAGGATCAAATAACAAATAATATAAATTAAACAATTAATTTCATCATTATCTATATTTGACCTAATTTCAATTACTTGCAAAATAAGTTACCCAATTAATACAAATAATCAACTTTAATCATATAAGGAAGTTATTATCTAATCAATTGGTAATTATCTTTTGTTTAATCAAGGATATATTCATAAAATTGATTAAAATCATATTTTATTGATCTAAAACAGATAAGGCAATTATCCATGAGAAAAACAGCAAGAAATCCCGAAATCCCCTCTTTCTGACGCTCGAACTCGCCGAGTACCCATATGGACTCGCCAAGTAGGGGCCTACTCGCCGAGTCCACAATGGGACTCGCCGAGTTCAACAGGCAGTTTGGCCAAAAAACGATTTTTTTTCAACTTGAACAAACATACAAGGCATCAATACAATAGAAACTAATCAAGGCTCTGATACCACTAATGGGTTTTGATCATAAGAACATCCTATGTGCTCATACAAACCCTAATGCTTGGATCTAGGTTTCTCTATTGTACATGCAATTTATCCAAGACTATAAACCCTAATTCTAGCATATGATAATCGATATTAACATAATAATGGGTTCAAGATATTACCTTAATTGTTATGTAGCAATAACAATCACAATTCCTTCTTGTAATGACTTTAGAAAGCTTAGAGTCACAAATGTCACTCCTCTAATGGTTCACAAACACCAAGAGCAAGAGGATGAAGAGGAGAAGAGAAGGAGGCTGCCTAAAACCGTCCAAAACCCTAGAAGGAAGCTTGTTCACGTTTTTGGGTCATAAGGGCTCTTTAAATAGTGAGGCTATTAGGGTTATCTAACAAGGAAACCCTAATTTGGATGCTTAATCCCTAAGCAGCCCATGGACTCCTTTAACTAAAGGCCTTGGACGATTTCTAATGGGTTTCCCCATAGAATTCGTCCAACCTTATATAATAAGGTAATC